GGTAGTATATAATAAAAGTCCCTTATCACAAGCCCCAAAAGGAACTACATGAGAGCCTTCAGGTATATTCCTAGGTTACTCTTGGGCCTGGTGTATGGCATGTGGCAAATCCCGAGGTTCACACTCTACGGCATCCTAGGAAAGGGTTTAGGGTTTGGGGTTTAGGGTTTAGGGTTTGGGGATTGGGGTTTGGGGTTTGGGATTTGGGGTTTAGGGTTTAGGGTTTAGGGTTTTAAATGACACCACGAGCCTTCAAACGCAGTGCGCTGGGGCTTTGGCTTCCCCCAAGTCTTTAGTAGACCCTAATCCCGAAACCCGAAACCCCAAACCCGAAACCCGAAACCCCAAACCCCAAACCGCAAGCCCCAAACCCCAAACCCCAAACCCCAAACTTGAACTTTCTAGGGGAACAATACGACTATCCAAATCATCCCGGAACCCCAAACCCCTCAACCCTTAACCCCTAAACAGTAAACCCGAAACGCAATCCAGGGTAACCCTACAAATTATCTCAATCAACACATCCCCACCCCCCACCCCCCCCCCCCCCCCCCCCCCCCCCCCCCCCCCCCCCCGCCCCAACCAAAAAAATCGAAGAAGAACGAAACGAAGCAAAATCAGGTAGAGGAGACGCAGGCTCCCTGGCGAGGACAAAGCTGTTCTGGGGAGTTTGAGCTTAGGGTTTTCGGGGAACTCCACTTGAGTCTGTAGACTCTACCAACTTTTAGGACTTGGGTTCAGTTTAGGGTCTAGGGTTTAGAGCTGTAGGTAGACTCTTGCCAATGTAGCGCTTGGGGGTTTAGGGTTTAGAGGTTCGGGTTGTAGACGTTGCGAACCTGTACGCCCCCACTGGATTGTATGCATAGGGCTAAGGGCCTGGCAGGGTTTAGGAAGGGTGCCTAACCCTAAACCCTAAACCCTAAACCCTAAACCCTAAACCCTAAGCCCTAAGCCCTAAGCCCTAAGCCCTAAGCCCTAAGCCCTAAGCCCTAAGCCCTAAGCCCTAAGCAAGTGCTCCGGTCGGTGCGGGATTGTTCAGGGTCCGCGAAGGCATGTGAGCGGTGGTTCATCGTCAGGTCCCACAAAAATTCTTCGCGTCCTGAGGAATTTGAGCTTAGGGGCTGGGTAGTTGACCTTTAAGCTTTTTGCTTCTGAAAATTCCTGTTGCAAAATATAAGGTTAACCTTGTTTCGGCTAGGGTACTCAGCCCCTAAGTAAAGCCCAAACGCCTGCACGAAATTAGGATTGGCCACTGTTTCTCAACCCCCCCTCACCTCCCCAAGGGATTTAGGTCTTAGTGGGTCCGAACCCCAAACACTGAACCCTAGTTCCTGCATCTTCTTGCGTTGTCTCTAAGCTGCTACAAAAAGCCCCCTAACCCCCTAGCCTTGCACCTCAAACCCTACACCCTACACCCTCAACTCCACACCCTACATACACGGAACTTCACCCTGCACCCCGAAGCTGCACCCTTAACCCCTAGGTCAAAAGGACGATGATTTTCAGGGTTGGCTGCCAACATCCGCAACCCGAAACCCTAGAGCCACACCAACAGTCCGTTGGGGCTGTCGCGCCTGGGGGGGTCTCAGCACCCCTAGGCTGAGAAGCCTTATTCCACCAATTTAGATAAGGATCTTCGTTGTGAGGGTTGAGGGTATGCATACGGTAGCCCTAAACCCTGCAGCCTAAACCCTAAACCCCAACCCGCTGTAGGGTTTAGTTTGTCTGCTCCTGTTTGGGGGTTAAGGGTTTGGGGGCATCCCACCACGTATCCTACAGTTCCGCCAAGCCCAGGCCAGCGTTTCTCCACGCCTCCTGCTATCTGCACCTTGGACTCCATAGCCCAAACCCCAAACCCTAGAGCCTAAACCACCAGGGTTTTGGGAAAGGTTGTGCTTCCCTTACCAGGTTGAAGAGGGTGATGCTTCGGGAATGCTTTCTCAGTAGGTATGAGGGGCTCATCCCTGTCAGAATCCCAGCAAGCCGATCCTGCCCCCCCACTCTGAGAAGGCACGCGCGGTAGGGTTCAGGGTTTATGGTGAAGGGTTGAGGGTTTAGGGTGTAGGGTGTAGGGTGTAGGGTGTAGGCCCTTATTCCCCTTTTTGTTAGGGCCCAGGCTCCTTCATCAGCCCCTTCTTAAAGCCAAAGGTCCCGCTTTTTATGCTCGTGTTGAGGTACGCCATACTTCAAGGGTTTTCTTCTCAGGCGTTGGAGTTTATGGTTACAGCTGTTCCAACCCTACACCCTAAACCCTAAACCCTAAACTCGGAGCAAGGGGAGAACCCTCCTTTTCCACGCGGCAATACTTGGGTAGTTCTCTGAAATGGAGTCCTCTTTTGGGCACCCTACCGCCTTATAGACTCTAAACCCTAAACCCTTAACCTTAAACCCTAAACCATTGCAGCAACGACACCAAAAAGGACCTAATTTTGGAGAGGTGACCAATTAGCCCTTGTAGGGTCAACCTGACTTAAAGCAGCCCTATCTTTCGGATTTCGGGTTCTAGGGTTTAATTCGAGGTTTAGGGCTTAGGGTTTAGGGTGCTTTAGGGTGCTTTAGGGTTCTTTAGGGTGCTTTAGGGTGCTTTAGGATGCTATAGGGTGCTTTAGGGTGCTTTAGGGTTCAGGGTTTGGGTTTTGGTTTTAGGGCTGCCGGCATGCCCCCACCCCTTCCCCCCCTCCCGCCGACCCCTTCACCCGCCCACGCAGGAGCAGGAGAAGTTAGCGCTGGACAGCGGGCAGGACTCCAAGACCTCATGACCCTACAAGGGTTTAGGGCTTAGGGTTTAGGGTTTAGGGATGTCCCCTAACTTACAAACCCTAGGCCGCGAAGATGCCCAAACCCCAAACCGTCAACACCCCCCAGTAAGGAGCCCTATTACTCCTTGGTCTTGCACGCCGTGCCGCACTGGAAGGTTCAGGGTGGGTAAAAGTAGGGTTACAACATGCACTCGGTGGCCTTCAGCGCCTCGTCAACCCCTAAGCCGTAAACGCTTAACCCTAAACCCTAAAGGCTTCCGTCAAGGCCATCATGCTCACAGGCACAGTGGCGTGCATTCCATTGCTCCTTGGTGTGGAGTGAAAAGAAGGCTGCTCACGAGGCAGTGTTCAGCAATGTGGAAGACAAGCCTCCCTAAGACCTCATGAAACACTTTCCTGGTGCGCGTGCAGTGGCACCGTTCACTGGTGCTCGCTGACTGTGCATCGCGACATCATCTTGCGGGCTAGGTCGCCATGGTTTCGCTGATCCAAAGCAAGGACTTCGGAACGTGGCATCCTTCAACTTGGTTTTGTTCTGGCTGCACTGAAGCCCCTAAACCCTATTCCCTCAGGCTGCATGATTAGAGCTTTGTGGTACTTTACCGTAACTTTAGATCCTTACCCTTTTTGGGTTTATTGGGTTTCTTAATAAGGCTGCTAAAAGTTTAATTTTTAGCTACCCTCCTGAGTGCAGCCAAGAGAGCTGCCCATGAACCCCTATCAAAAATGCTCATGGGATTCTCCCTTGGACCCCCTGAGGCTGTACCCTTGGGTTTGGGGACCCTTCTTGAAGCTCCTGGAAGCTCAGGGCCATATTCGGAGCATGTTAAGGGAAACCTTTGGGGGTCCCACCTTAGGGGTATAACCCTAAACCCTAAACCCTAAACCCTAAACCCTAAACCCTAAACCCTAAACCTTAAACCCTAAACCCTAAACCCTAAACCCTAAACCCTACACAGTATACCTTGAAATGCTCAAGCTGTCCCGAACTGCTTCTCCACAGACTAAGCATCGACTGCCTTCAGGGCTTCTTCGGGTTTAGGGCTTAGGGCTTAGGGTTTAGGTTTTTAGGGCTTAGGGTTTAGGGTTTAGGGTTTAGGCTTGGGATGTTCCCCCTTCTACTCGCAGCTCCTTACGGGGTTTCTCGTACCCCCCTATTGTAATCCCATTAAGGACTGTTAGGTGTACAAGGGTGAACATCCCAACTTTTGGTTTTCATGGGGTGTAGCCCGAAACCCCAAACCCTAAACCCTAAACCCTAAACCCTAAACCCTAAACCCTAAACCCTAAACCCTAAACCGCTTGCAAGGGTTTTTTTGTGCAGGGCTTAGGATTTAGGCTTTGGGTTTAGGGTGTAGCTGAAGATCATTGAATGTGGGCTAGATCTCGTGGACCCTTTTCTCCCTTCCTAGTTTCCTTGCAAGGAGCCTTTTTCAAAATTCCTAGGCTACGTAGGATCGCGACAGGTCAAAGCTTTGACCTGTTTTGAGCGAATCTAGACTTATGCGAAGAGAGATCCTTGTAGCGGTCAAGAAAGTTTGTTGCCCAGAACTTGTTTTTGTTGTTTTAGGGGAGTGCCTAGGTGCCCGCTATGAACTTAGGCCCCTAACTTTAAAACCCTAGCCTGCCGGAGTCAGTGAGCAATCCAAGGCTTGATGCTTACAGGGTCCCAGAGGCTTAGATGAAGCAGGGTTTAGGGTTTAGGGTTTAGGGTTTAGGGTTTAGGGTTTAGGGTTTAGGGTTTAGGGTCATATTCCTGCTATTGGTGATATATTGGTGAGTGTATATACTGGGTGTGCGTTTGGGGATACAAGGAATATACACCCTACTTCATATACCCCCCCCCCCCCCCCAGGCCCAAGCTCAAACTCAAAGCCCAAAGACTTAAGCGCAAGACGTTTGGGCATAAAGGGAGGTTAAAAGCCACAGGCTTCAGGCTGTTGTATGTATTTCGAGTATTATGATATTCCAGGGCAGGCTTCAGTTCGAATGTATAGAGGGTGTTTAGGGTTATGCGCATGTGCGTGGCTGATAATGCGTGAGACGTTCGTTGCTGTACGAGACGTGAAGCACGAGCGCGCTAGTCACCATCGTTTTGCTCACGAACCAAGATCAATCACCACCTGCTCAGGACTCACAATTAAACCCTGTAAACCCTAAACCCCTAAACCCTCATTAAAGGGGCTTCTTGACTGGCAGGACATATCCTCCTGTGTGATGCCAGCTCCATTGGCGAGCTAGTGCTGCGTTGCAGCGTCCAGGCACTCCGCGCGAATGTGCACTTCACAAAGCCCAAAGCACTACACTGTCCCTTCGACGTGCTCTTTAGGGTTTAGGGTTTAGGGTTTAGGGTTGAGGGTTTAGGGTTTAGGCTGGGTTCAGGGTTGAGGGTGGAGGGTTGAGGGTTTAGGGCATCATGGCCATCCACGAACAAGGGCAATGTTTCAGGGGACTCTTCATGGTGCCACTGGCTCGATCTTGGAGTTATTGGCAGAAGAAGGCACCTGAGCAGCCCTCAACCCTAAACCTTAAACCCTAAACCTTAAAGCCCAAACCCTGAACCTTAAACCCTAAACCCTAAACCCTGAACCTTAAACCCTAAACCTTAAACCCTAAACCCTCTCTAGTCTAAGAGCCCGACACCTCCAGCGTGTTAAGGCTTTTGCGTTGTGGTTTCAGAGTTCTTGCTCCGAAGATGTATTTTTTATATCCCCCCAAGGCGTAGGTGTAGGGTTTAGGGTTGAGGGTTTAGGGTTTAGGGTTTAGGTTTAGGGTTCAGGGTTCAGAGTTTAGGGTTCTTACTTCTAAGTGCCTTATGCGCCTGAATAGGGCGTACTTGGGCTCTTTACTGCTTGCCATCATTTGTTTAGGGTTTAGGGCTTAGGAGTTAGGGTGAGGGGTTAGGTTATACCCAAGCATGTTCGAACTTTGAGGCCCAAGTACACACTATTTAAGTCCATGAGTTAGGGTGAGGGGTTAGGTTATACCCAAGCATGTTCTAACTTTGAGGCCCAAGTACACACTAGTTAAGTTCATGGACCCTTAGGGTCAGGGTTTTGCAGTAGGGTTTTAAGCCTGAACCCTACACCCTAAGCCCTAAACCCTAAAACCCTGGACCAGGTATACTGCCGGCCCGCGAAGTGGGCATGGGCAAGTCAGTGTTCACCTGTTCGCTGGAATCCTCGCCTTTTAGCACCAAGGGTGGGCTTATAGTTTAGGGTTTAGGGTTTAGGGTTTTAGGGTTTAGGGTTTAGGGTTTAGGGTTTAGGGTTTAGGGTTTAGGGTTTAGGGTTTGGGGTCTTGTGGCTTAGAGTCTTATGCCCTAAGGCTCCAAGGACTCTTATTTGAAGGTTTTTGGGCCTGAGGCTCCGAGGACTCTTATTTGAGGATTTTTGGGCCTAAAGGCCTTATTATGAAAGGTTTTTGAGCTCTTTTGAGCTTAACGGATAGGTACAGGCAGGATTTAGGGTTTTAGGTTTCGGCTGATTATCACCGTCCTAGCAGGTATGAAAGCAAGACCAGCTGCTTCTGAAATTGGCTGAAACCCCGACGACCATAACTAAACCTGCAGGAGCACTTAGCAAACAATTCCAGATGCCCCCGCAAGTTCGTGACTTCAGGATTCTTCTCGGCATGTTGATTCCTGAACCCTAAACCCTAAACCCTAAACCCTAAACCCTAGACCCCTGAACTCCCTCTCAGGGACTTAGGTCTTGTTTCCTTCAGGGCTCTACTAGGTAGGCCCTTGGGGCCTTTGTTCTTGTCCCTTGTTGGGTTTAAGAGGATCACATTCAGGAATATCTTTCAGAGGGTTTTATAAGGGCCATCCTTTGTCCAGGAACCGAATATCTCAGGCCCTGCAAGTTTTGCAGGCCTAAAGGTTCCCCTTCATGTTCTCCGAATATGGCCTTCATATTCCCTTAGAGATCTTCAACCTAGTAGCCGAGTACACTTTACACTTTTTGGGATACTATAACCCCCTATTAAAACTGAAAGTGTGCACCTTTTTTTTTTTGGGGGGGGGGGGGGGTTATGAACTCAGCAACCAAGTAAACGAGCCCAAGGGTACAACCTTCGCGGTCCAAGGCGAATCCTTGGTGGCCCACCGGTACCCTTTACACTTGTTTTGGTTCTGGGTTCCCTGATAAAGTAACCAGCCCAAAAAAGGGGTGCCCTTATTGTAATATGGTTACTGGGCTACCGAGAATCCCATGAATAGAGTTGCTGGTAAGACAACCACCATGGTGCCGGCGAGGGCAGCGTCAGGCAATTCTTCGGGAGAAGGTCTCAGAAAAGTCAGGTGAGGCCGACGAGGCAATTCGCACCAGATGGCCTTAAGCCCCCTGAACCCTAAACCCTAAACCCTCAGACCTGCGCCTCCCTGCCCACCACCTGCATGTAGGGGATGCCCCCCCCCCCCCCCTCCGTTATAAGTAGGGTTCTAAGGAGCCTTAATTTAGGTTCTAAGTCCGACTATTCAGTTTAAATGTAGGGGCATCCCCTCTAGACAAAAGTAGGGTTCCCAGGCCTCTTAATTTGGGTTCTAAGTCCTACTGTCTAGGTTAAAAATCTCTTGACTAAAGCTGGCAGTCGTATAGTAAGGAGCTCCTATACTTGTAGAACCCCAAACCCCTATGACCAAATGTGTTTTTTGTCGAGTCTCTCTCTCTCTCTGCCTCTTTCTCTCTTTCTTTCGTTCTTAGGCTACTATTTCTTTCGATGTCTCGGTTTAGGAAATAGGGTTCAGGATTTAGGGTCTAGGGTTTAGGGTTTAGGGTGGCCATCTTCATCTCTATCTTTCTCCTCTCTTCCTCGTGTAGTATGCCGAATGTCTGCGCGTGTTGGTATAATTAGGAGCTCCGCCAGTTATCCGTACATCTTGGGATGCTCCCCCTGATACGAAGAGGGGTTTAGGGGTGTAGGGTTTAGGGTTTAGGGTAGTCTTCAAGAGGCACTATAGTATCACCCATTCGACTCTCGATTAAGGACTGTTCGTAGACGGGGGAACGTCCCAACCCTACACGTAGGGGCCCTCTAGATACAAGGAAGGTTTTCAGTGCCCTTAATCGGGGTATTTCTATTTATTTTGATACCTCCATTAGCTAGAGTTAGTATAGTAAGGCAAACCCTTACTTGTAACCCTAAGCCCTAATTTTTGGGGTCTAGGGTGTAGGGTTTAGGAACTTAGGAACCCTAGACCCTAAACCCTCAACCCCAAACCCTAAACCCCAAAGCAGCGAAATCTTGACCTTGTCCCGTCAGCCGGGGCAAAGTGGGCAGTTGGCAAGCCACCACGCGTGGCAGAGTTCCCCCCCATATCAGAGAGGTTTAGGGTTTAGGGTTTAGGGGTTAGGGTTTAGGGTTCAGGGTTTAGGGTTTAGGGTTTAGGGTCCTGGTGAAGGGGCCCCTAGTTCTAAATAGGTTTGTAAAGGGGTTTCGGGTTTAGGGGTGAGGGGTTTTGGATCTAGGGTTTAGGGGACTAAATAGGGTTATAGAGGGGTGCCGCGTTTAGGGTTTAATTAGGGGTTAGAGTTCAGGATGTAGGGTGCAAGTGGGGCCCTCTAGTTGCAACCAGGGTTATAAGGGACCTGAACTGGGTTCTCCGTCCAACTTTTCAGGTTATACGTCCCTTGACTAAAGCTAGTGTAGTAGGCGGCCCCTTACTTGTCGGGTTCATGATTTTGGTTTAGGGTTTTGGGGCTTACTCAGGACAACTGGAGCAATCAGAGAGGGCTCGATAGGGTCTGTGATTCTGGTTTAGGGATTTGGGTTTTGGCTTAGGGTTTAGGGATTTGGGTTTTAGGGCTGTTGTTTAGGGCAAGGAGGACAAGGAGGACCCAGAGCTCGGACGTATTCCTTCTGTTTAGAGCCTAAGCCCTAAACCCTGAACCCCAAACCCCAAACCCCAAACCCTAAACCCTAAACCCTCCCAACAAGAATAGGCACCCTTTACGCTGGCGGGAATCCACAGCCTCCGCAACGCTCCCCTGAAACGTTTTGTTTTCGTGGTGGGTTTTCAGGGTTTAGGGTCTAGGGTTTAGGGTTTAGGGTTTGGGGTTTGGGGTATCTCATGATTGGTCTTGAGGCCGCTGGGATCTACCAGCTGGCCAGTCGGGGTTCCCACGCAGCGCGCGTATGCCCCCAACGAGGGTACGCCGGCTTGCCGTCGACTGCCAGGCATCCCCTCGATCAAGTCGAGCTATCCCTACGCTTACGAACCCAGAGTTGGGATGTTACCCTTTATCCGACTTTATCCGAACAGTCCCTCATAGGGATGATAAGTACCCCCTATTATAGTCCATACGAAGGACTTGCTAAGGTTTCATGTACCCATGTAGTACATACTTGGGCCCTAAAGCTACTATTTTGGGAACCCCTTTAAGGCCCAAGTATATACCATAGAGGTACATGGACCCTTTTGGGACTGTTTGTATCAGGGGGAACATCCCACGCCCAAAGCAAGGTTGGCCTCTTGGCGTCCTTAGTCATTTCTCCTTGTTTGGGCTTCCTTGGCGCCTCTGCCGGCCCATAACCCTAAACCCTAAACCCTAAACCCTAAACCCTAAACCCTAAACCCTAAGCCCTAATGTATACTTGCTTGGGCCACAAAGTCATCATGGAGGAAGTGCTTAAAAGCCCAAGTCACTTGACCCCCCCCCCCCTCCCTCCTAGGGCTGTATCCGAACACTCCAGCCTTAAATCCTGACCCCAAACCCTAAGCCCTAAACACTGCCAGACATACGCACCAAAAGCCGCGTGCGTCCATCGGCCGGAAAACGCCAGCCCGGTGATCTCAGGGACTTAGTTATGGTGCCCTTTACTTGGAAGCCCCGTTTCGGGTTTAGGGTTCAGGGTCTTACTTGGAAGTCCTGTTGACTTAGTAAGTAGGGTTTGTAAGGTGGGTTATGGGGATTGTAAACAGGGCTTCTAGGGAATACTGCGTAGACTTCGTAATCACAAAAGGGCTGCCAAGTACAAATGGAGTCACCGTAGCTTCAATATGTGGTCCGTGGAAGTATGGAGTAGTGTGTCCCCATAGTACGATCGGAGTGCTTGTCTTCTGGTATGTTGGGCATCTGGTCCTGGTAGGGTTCAACAGCCATGTTGTTGCAGGCAGTTTGCGGCTGTTGCCCTTCCAAGCCTAATCCCTAAAGCCTGAACTACAAAACCCCAAACCCCCAAACCCTAAGCCCATAGATTGGTCCTATAGTCCCGAAAACACCCTTAACGCTCTGATTCTT